ATATATATAAAACAAACTATTAACAAACAAAATATATACAATTTAAAAAAATTAATTAAATTTTTAATAACATTTTTAAATTTTAAAAATTTCAAAAATTTTAAAAAATTTTAAAAAATATACAAACAAAATATATACTAATATATACAATAAAACTCAAAAAAGCAAAAGGTTGAAATTTTGGAATACAATAAAAAAGCAGAGAATTGTCTTCATTTGTTATATATATGTATGTATGTATGCATGTATATGTATATATATACTTGTGTTTGTATACATAAATACATATATACACATGTAAACATATATAAACACACATATGTTTATGCATGTATACTTGTGTGTATATATGTTGATATATAAATACACACATACATCTCTCTCTCTATATATATACATATATATATAAACAGTTCATATGTATATGTGTGTATGTTTGTGTGGGGCTATCAATCAGTTAGTTCAAATAATTACACACAGGCTGTGATTAATTGTGATTAAATTAATTAAATTAAACTGTCATTCTTAAATATTTTTTCCATACATTCTGGGAACAGAGAGACAAAAAAAAAAAAAAACCCTAAAATGAATCGTCACAAATTGATTGTATCTACTGTTATAGCAATCACGGAAATTTACCAACCATTGTGTTGAAATTTGTCGTTATTTGTGAAAGTTTATTTCCTGAAACAACAAAACTTCCTGTAAACCCAACTTTTTTTTTTTGTACTTCTTCACCTTAAAGTACACGTCCTCCTGCTCTTGTGTGCCGTCTGACAGACCTCAGGCCTGTCATGTTGGCTTTTCCAGTGGTATATATACAGTATATATACGTACATGTCGATGTATAAATACTGTATGTGTGTGTGTAGCTGCCACATCCTCCCGTGTTTTGCTCCGTCCTACTTGCATCATGCTGCACTGCAGCTGAGAGGCTCATTGAAGCCCGGCTACTACTGTCCTGCACTCTGCTCTCAGCACAATCCTGCTCACATTAAATAATGCAGCTGGCCATTGTGCTGAAACTTCCCCTTTCCCCACTCAACCCTATACTGTACGTCCCACAGCAGCTCATATCAGCAGATTTCCACAAGCTTTCCTATCACCCGGAGCAACATCGTCCGGTGCAGCGTTTAAAGGGCCAGCGCTACAAAAACATAATCAACGCCTTTGGACAACAGCCGCCTCCATCCTTCTGTGGAGATGAATGTCTTAAGCTCAATGGCTTAAAGTACCCGTGCGATGTAATTATTTTATAAAACGAGGTCACATTAAAAATGTGTCCGACATAAAGGTTGTGAAATATATCACTGACCTTAAGTTAAATACCAAGTTTCTGCCCCCGATCATGAAAAATGAAAACCCAAAAAAAAAAAAATCACACTGTACTGTACCTGCTAAGACGCATGCTAACGTAATTTCACGCATATTTGCTAATACGACGTAAGCCGTGTAAATTACTTCTGCACGCATGGCGATGTTCATTTACGGAGCTAATTATTCCCTTCTATAACATGACACAGTCATGTTCACTACATTACACGCTAATAGCTAACAAAAAAAATGCTAATTATTATTATTATTATTACAGCGCCACCTGTTGGTAGATGGAAGCGAGCACCCACATGTCGACACTTTAACACCCATTAGTTAAAAACTCCACTTTGGTCAAATTAATGTTGTAGCATTTCTACAAAAACATCAGGTCATAGGTGGAGCCCGCACCACACTTTGAGCACCACTGTCTCAAACTTCAATTGTATGTGAAAACTGGCAGTAATTGGCACCAGTGTTTGCTAGTTCTCTTACATTTGATGAGTCTCATTTCAATATGTCTAACGTTCCATTTCCACCGTGATTCAGCTGTCGGGTCCACATCTGTTTTTTGTTTTTTTTTACAGTAATATAGTCGTGATGTTTTGGATGGTTTCTCTCAGCACATGATGCACAGGCACACCTTCTGAAGTCTGGTTTTGTCTTGACAGGATGATGAAGTGGTGCTCCAGTGCGTGGCCTGCATCCAGAAGGAGAATCGTAAGTTTTGCCTGGCGGCTGAGGGACTGGGTAACAGGCTGTGTTACCTGGAGCCCACATCTGAGGCAAAGGTAGGTGAACTGACTCCACTGCAGCGTTGTTTGATGGTCTGACTGGGGGAAAAAAATAAAAAATAAAAAATAAAACAAACAGTGAATCAGCTTAGCGCGTCAATCTGAAGTTATCTGGCTGCGTTTGTTATAATTATTCTGTCAAGTGTTCTTTTGAGACCAAGAAACTCAAACACTTAGGATATATACAGTATATATACACTTAGGATATAATATATATATATATATAAATATATATATATATATATATTCTATATATATATATATATTTATATATATATATATATTATATATATATATATTGTATATATATATATATATCATGAGTATATATATAGTATATATACAGTATATACTGTATATATATATAGTATATATACAGTATATATACACTTAGGATATATACAGTATATATATATATATATCTTATGTGTATATATACTGTATATATATATAGTATATATACAGTATATACTGTATATATACTATATATATACTCATGATATATATATATATATAAATATATACATCGCCTGAACTGAACCATGTGAATGGATGCACTCACTCAGAGAGGAGCTCTGTTTAAAGCAAACATCCATTTCGTCCTCCCTCCGTCCACTCACTGGCCTCAGCAGACAATCAGTGCAGTAAAGCAGACGAAGAGAGAAAACCAAAGTTCACCGAAGTCTCCTCGTGGAGTTCACTTGTTCAGAGACAACTCTGTCTTCAGACGATAACCCCCTGAAATCACGTCTCCACACAGTTGATGGATCGTGTCATAAACAGTTCAACCGTTGGCTCTATCTTCCGTCCACAGCTTTACTGCAGCGGAGGACGAGGTCTGTAGCTGAGGACACGTTCGCTGGCGTGGGGTATTAATGACTTCGGTTTAATTGCTAACCGGAGTAATCAGCAAGATGTCACGGCATTTTCTTTGACTGGCAACGCAGTTTACGAAACGCAGCCAAAACAGCTTGGCTTTGGGACGAGCCAACAGGTCACAAAAAAACAACAAAAAACAAAAAAAAAAACGTGTTTTAGTAGTCGAGGAAAAACAAATTTGTAGTTTGTCGACTTACCCTAGTCATTACTGAATAGATATTCATTGACAAAGCTTGTTTTATTTTTTCCAAAATTTGAGATAAAGACCAAATAATACTGAAGAGGCAACATTCTGGAAGGTTCTTAAGGTTAAAAGTCAACTAGTAACCGATCTGGATCTAAATGTTCTGAATAAAAGGAGCATCCACTGAAGGACTAGTGTAAACAGAAATACACTTTTTTTATTTGTTTACATAATGTTTAAAAGGAGCATCCACTGAAGGACTAGTTTAAACAGAAATACACTTTTTACTTTTTTTATTTGTTTACATAATGGTTTTTAATGTAAATGTTTCTTGAATAATTGTTGGACTGAATTTGTAGCTGAACATATTTTCCTATAATACCTTTATCATGTAGATTTAGTTTTTAATTATTTTGCCCCGAATATTTTGCCTTTTTAAATTTTCAATTTAGGTCAAACGATCAAATTTTTAAATCTCATCGTCATGACTCAAGCACGATTAATCTAGATAAATTGACATTACGAAATATGGAACGAAATCTTTTCTTTATGCCCAGTTTGTGCAAATAAGTAAAATCTACGATAGATCTACGAGATATGCAGTAAAGGCGGTCCTTGTTTTACGATGTTCGCGACCTACTTTGTTTTGCGGTTACATCGCTATTTGCATAGATTTATGAAACTTTCACGGGAACTAGATTGGTGAGCGGAGCGGATGAATACGTCGTCGCGTGGCACTATACGCGGAAGACCGTTTTGTTTAGTTTCGCCAGTTTTACGTCGTACTTACGTGTGTTGTTGTTTTTTCCCCCCATTATGACTCGCAAGCGTAAGTCAAACGTTTCTGACGTTTTTTATGTCCTAGATTATGATGTTAGCATCGTATTAGCACTAGCGTAGGTGAGTGGTATAGGTATAGGTGAGACTTACAATTGACTCAAGTCGTGCCGTAGGAACGGAATTCTTCCGTAAGTCAAGGAACCGCTGCATACAGATCAGCCCGCCTGTCTTAAAATCCATCCAAAATTTAAATCTGATTAATCTTCACGAAATAATTACAGTGATTTACACGTTCATTTAGACACTCATAGTTCAATTATGGCACCAGGCAGGTGCAGAATATTTTATGGCCGTGATGCCTCCAGAGATCCAGGAACATGTCCATCAGAATTTTTTTTTTTTTTTTTTGGTGTGTTTGACGGTGAGTCCCTCTGCTCCTGGTCTTCTTCTTTTAGACATAGCATTTCTTCACTAAGATGGTGTCCAACACTGTGTGCTGGTAGTGGTGGATGCTGAGTGGTTATTGGGCGCAGGGGGAGGTGAGACCTCCACCCTGTATTGGATGGTAATTACAGCTGACATGTGTGATGGATGCTCCTCTTGTCTGGCACTTTGTCTTCATTGCTTTCTGTTTTTATGAGAAGGGATCACTACACCTCGGGGATCAGCGACAGAGTGTTGGGAAAAGCCCCAGGATAGCAATTTAGGAATGGGTCTGGAGCAGTGAGTGACTCGGTGAACTAGCAGTAATGCACAGAACCTGGGTAATGGGATGGGCCTGGTTTAAAGTGTGTATGGTATAAATGGCCACATCAATCAGTCTGTGAGAAGCTGCTTGATTGTTATATACGACCAGCAACTCTTGGCCCTGCCTAACTCAATGCTATGACCCCTGGAGGAAGGACGGTTACGATCTTTTATGTTACCATCGCCCTCGATTTGTTTGCGTATTATCGTGAATTCAGGAACGCGGAGGAGGGGCTAATAAATAAAACATCCTAAGTCGCTTCATTTCGCAGTTATAGAAGCTCTTCCAATTAGGCCGAAGATAAAATGCTCCTTCCTGACCTCGTCACAGGAGACAGAAATAGAGGTGAGATCAATCCTTACCCATCATCCAACAACACTCTTCCCCTCAGCGCATGATTGGTCGTAAACCAAACGTCAGGGCACGGCCGAGCTGCTCTGGACCTTCATTCCGTTCCTCCACAGCTTCGAAATGTTACAGCTCTGCTCCGGCAGAGGGCAAAGGTCAGCCGTTAGTCACCCAGAGAGATAAGGGCGGGGGAGGTGGGGGGGTGAATTGCCGCCCACCAAATCCTTCATTAAGATTTCTCCTCCGCGCCACAGCTTTCTCTCCCGTAACTGGTGTCAACACGATGCTGTCACGTGGTCGTGACAGCTAACATCTGTCAACACGATGCTGTCACGTGGTCGTTCCTCCAGCTGACATTAGTAATATTGCGTCGTTAGACCAGTTTTACATTTATATTAACTCCTCTCTCTGTCAGTAAACATCTGCCCTGCTTTCAAAGACAATATGGAGTCCTATTTTTTTAAATTATTCTCCGTTCGAAGGCTTTGGACGGAGTGATGTGTGAGCCCTTGATCTCTTCATAACGAGAATGTTAATGAATTTACAACTCCAATAAAGTCCAGCTTCCGTCCAGCTTTTGTGCAGCATCCACGAGTGCTAACAGCAGCTGGCGTACAATTAGCAAATCCATGTGGTATGTGGAAGCTACGTTTGAAATATACAGTGTATTTTTGAATGTGTGAATGTGTTAAGATCTGACAACATGATTTTGTTTCACCAGATGTGTGTATATATGTAAATATAGATGTATATACAAATATATTTGCACATAAATATATATACAAATATATGTGTATATAAATATATATACTGCTGTTTGTACATATACATATACACACATATAAATGTAAACGTCTGTATATATGTAAATATATATGTATATGCAAATATATGTGTATATAAATATATTCAGGTGTGTGTTCATATACATATACACATATAAATGTATACGTGTGTATATGTGTAAATATATATGTATATGCAAATATATGTGTATATAAGTATATGCAGGTGTGTGTACATATACATATACAGTACATACATATAAATGTATATGTGTGTATATATGTAAATACGGCATGTATGTATATCCAAATATATGTGTATATAAATACATTCAGGTCTTTGTACATATACATATACACACAAATGTATACGTGTATATATGTAAATATATGTATATGCAAATATATGTGTATATAAATATATATACTGCTGTTTGTACACATACAGATACACACATAAATGTATACGTGTGTATATGTAATATAAATATATATACTGGTGTTTGTACACATACATATACACACATAAATGTATACATGTGTATATGTAAACATATATGTATATGCAAATATATGTTTATATAAATATATTCAGGTGTTTGTACATATACATATACACACATAAATGTACACATGTATATATGTAAATATATGTATATGCAAATATATATGTATATAAATATATTCAGGTGTTTGTACATATACATATACACACATATAAATGTATACCAGTGTATATATGTAAATATATGTATATGCAAATATATATGTATATAAATATATTCAGGTGTTTGTACATATACATACACACACATAAATCTATATATGTATATATGTAAATGTATGTATATGCAAATATATGTGTATATACTGTATATATATGTGTGTGTGTGTGTATTTATATTGTTATGTGATACTTGTTTTTCTGTATTTGCAGTATGTTCCTCCAGACCTGTGCATCTGTACCTTTGTACTGGAACAGTCCCTGTCAGTGCGGGCCCTGCAGGAAATGTTGGCTAAGAGTGGACAGAACAGTGAAGGGGTGAGTGACAAACACCGATGGGGGAGTCGGAGGTCGGAGGTCAGGGTGGAGGGGGGTGTCTGTAGTAGACTTCTGCTTCTGCCATTTTTGGAATGTTTTTTCTTTGGTCAATATTATCTGCCGTGACGGTGCATACCACCACAGGTTACAGATGGGCTACTTAATGGTGATGTTACTTCAGTGCATTCTCGCAGTTTGCGTTTATTTGTTTTCGATATTGTGTGTCCATTTATCATTCTTCCCCTGCACTGAAATGTCACTGGGGGAAGCGCCATTAAAAAGGAAATGGAGGTTGAAAATGTCTCGGCTGAGACTCTGAAATCAATACTTCATTGAACAGATGGGCTTATCAATCGACAGCGGCTGAGGCTGGAGCTGTGTTAGCGCCCGGAGGCACCGATACACCGATACACGGAGAGGGGACCGGTGGGGACAGCAGTGAACTCACAGCTTGTGTAAATGCCGCACCAAATTAGCTCGCTGTTCGTAAACGGATTGGTGTGAGTGTGTGTGTGCAAATATGCTGTCATCTCGTTCAAAAAAAAAAAAAAGTGCTGACCCAGCTGAACGAGGGGATCAAAAGGGCAGGTCAGAAGCATCAATCAAAGACACTGAGCCACTGTGTTGAACTCTGGTGGGCTCGTGTTTCCTTTACCCCCTTTTTCCATCAGGTCTGTCTTCCTAGCTTGTGGTTGTCATCACTGGATTTTTTTTTTACCGAGAGAAACCACAACGCTGCGACCACCACAAACACACACACGTGAAACATGAAGCTCACACGACAGGAGACCATGGCCTGATAAATGCCAAATCACACGGTTCCAAGGAAGTCGCTTGCTCTTCTGCTGAGGAGCTGTTTTTTTTTTTTTTCTTTTCTTATACCTCATAATAGATGTTGACAGCGTAGGTAAAGATGTGCGGGGTTGTTTTAGCTCTCGCTTTATGAGCCTGAATCGACCCTTGTTGAGCCGCGTCTTTGCCTCGCTCTGCTTATTCAGTGGATAAGGCAGCGAGAGAAAGACTTTGTTGTTGTGGTGACTGCAGCTAGATGTGCCTCGCCGCATTAAGCTCAGCACCTCAGCCTGGATACAGCAGCAGCAGCAGCAGCAGCAGCAGCAGCACACAAGAAATCTGGAAGGCATTGCTGCAGTTTGCACAACACAACAGCATCACATCACAGGCCAGCTAGGAACAAAAAAAAAACAAAAAAAACAAAACAACCCAGAGCCAAGATTAAAACTGAATGGATAATAATAAGAGAAGGAGTTTGTTGTTGTTATTATTATTATGGTTTTCTCAAACAGTGCATGTCTTGTTTTGCATAATCCTATTGTCTTGGAAATAATTCCTTTCGCCTTAATAGCATAGTGTTAAAAAGTAAGTTTGATCCCTTCTTTTAAAATAACAATTGCAACTAATATTGCCAGGTTTTGTAGTATACTTTACTACAAAACCAGGAGTCTCGGTATTTATTAACAGTCAAATGTCTTATTTCTCTTATTTCTTATTTTTTATTTAATAAAATGTATTAACTATTACAATGTTCCCTCTCTATATCACGGTTCTCCTTTCGCTCCCGCAGTACATGGCAGACTCCTTTCGCTCCCTCAGTACATGGCAGATTTTTTTGTTTAATCCGATCTCGCAAAATTTTTGCTTTGGCGCAAAAATAGCAAAAAAATAAAATAAGTATATATATAAAAGTTCTGTGGATTCTCGTTTTGAAATTGAGATTCACGCGCATTCACGAACGATGGCTGGTAGCTTTGTTTACCTAGCCAAGATCGTAAACAGCATACTGTTGGGTACTCGGTGTACTATTGGCCAATTGAGTATGCTGTTCTGTTCCTCACCCTGATTGGCTCATGGGTTGTAGAAATGCTCTCGTTCACTTTGCTCTGTGTCGCCATTCTACAAATCTAGGTAGGGTTGATAAGAGTGTGGTGGTTCGTAAAGGTTCTGTTCCTCACCCTGATTGGCTCATGGGTTGTAGAAATGCTCTCGTTCACTTTGCTCTGTGTCGCCATTCTACAACTCTAGGTAGGGTTGATAAGAGTGTGGTGGTGGTTCGTAAAGGGTTAATATACTATACGATAATAATATAATCTCGCCCCTACTGCGCAGTTTTCCTCATATTCGCGATGGGTCTTGGGACGCAACTACCGCGATAGGAGAGAGAATACTGTATACATTTAGAAATAATGGAATGTGGAAATACAAAAAGTTGTAAAAGTGTTTTTATAGCTGTCCAACAGATGACCAGTCTGTTCATGGAGCGGGTTCTAACTGTTGACATTTATGAGCTTCGTAGGATCGTACAATGTGACCTTTCAGCCTTTATATTGCGTTAGGGAGCGACAACGCTGGAGCCATGGTCAGCGGGGAATGACCTGAATAAAAGATAGGGTTAGTGCAGAAAACTTAGAATATGAACTGGAAAGATTTCCTTTGTCTGTGGAACAAGTTCTTCCCACGTTCTGTTTCAGTAGGAACTTGACATCTTTGGTTTAATAGCGGGTCACAACCAACGTTTTGAGGTGCATACTGCCACCTACTGTACTAAAGTGTGTAGTGTCATGGTATGACCAGTGACTTTTTAAAGATAACGCAGCCTACTCCTCACACCTTGTGTTTACGTTTCTTTTTTATTTCAATCGTTGCGAATCGTCACACATTTGTATCGACTATTCATCGAGTCGTATCGCCTCGTCACATCCCTATTAGTAACATTAGAAAAGAGAGCTTTTAATTGACACCACGCTGCAGAGGAACAATATATTAGAGAACAACAGTTCTTCCCAATAATGAAACTCTTTTTACCCTTATGCTTCCTAGAGGCTCATAAGGAAGGTGAGTAACACGTTAGTCGCCTGCCGAAGAAAACCAAAAACGTCCCCCTCTGTATCTCTACCCGTAGAGATATGATTTCATTTTTAACCCTTCCTCCTGCATCTTAACCCAACCCTGTCAGTGGTGGAGTCAGTCCCTGCTGTTGTTGACATTGCATCAAAGGGCGGCGGTAGTTGTGCATCCTTCCCACACTCTTGTAGCGGGAGTGCTGGAAGGATGATCCCGTATCCCACATCGCTCATGGATACAGGTGCAAGAAACACCACTACCTGCGACGACTCCGATTGCATGCCTTCATTGGCGAGGTAGAGTCTCAGAACCTCCCGGGGGAGGTGAATGTCCACGGTTGAGGTCATCAACATTGGGGAGGTATTCTTTGCTGAGGTCAACATTCGGTGCCGGAGGTCATAAATAATTGGAGCGACTGGAAGAAGACGGCTAGGTCGACCCCCGATGGAGGCTTAAAGTGACCTTCAACCGAGTAACTGTGTACATTTGTGTTGTTGTTTGTGTTTGTTGTGTCTGTCCAGGCAGCACAGAGTGGAGGACACAAGACCCTTCTGTATGGACATGCCATCCTCCTGCGTCATTCCTTCAGCTCCATGGTAGGATAATTGACCAATTAGGACTAATGGCCATTCGTTTTTGAGTAAACCAGGCATGGGCAACCTAAGGCGCGGGGGCCGGATGCGACCCGTTCAGCTTTTTAATCTGGCCCGCCAAACTTTTCCAAATTATATAATTTATTTCTATTATCATTATACTTCTGCCTTTTCCCTGCAATACCCACGTTTTCCCCAATAGGTGGTGTAGAAAATTAAAGTATTTTAGCATTTTAGCCTTTATGCATGACTTTTACATGTCATTTCTCTTAGTTCAGACGAACGTTCCATCTACAGTATCTGCTCCTGACCCGACCCCCCCCCTGTTCAATTTTAGGACAATTATGGGCCGCGAGTCAAAAGGTTTGCCCACGCCTGGAGTAGACAAAAGTAGTCAAAAGGTTTAAAAAAAAATATTGTGATTAATCATAGACTAGCTGTGGATTAATCACGATTAATCATGATTAATCATGATTAATCGCGACTAATTAATATTCCTAAAAATGACAAATACTGTTTTTTTTTTTTTTGATGTTGCTGGAACAGAACAACCATCAACAGCAGGTAGATGCGTGTGTTTCAAACACATTTTTATTTGTGACGAATCCAAATGATGGAATTATTTACGTTGAGAACAGTGAGGACAAATATGCAAAACTCAAACTTTTGTTTCATGGGTTTGGCGGATTTTAGTATTTAATGTGTATCGTAACATTTTCTTCAACAATAATAATCAGTCTACAGTTTCTGACAAACCATTGGACAGTAGTTTCAGTTGTAGACTTTTTTCCTGACCTGACATTAGCTGGATGTTCTTAATGGAACCTTAAGCTTCCAAAAACACACGTTGGGTTTTTTGAGCTCAAGATTCTCCTGTGAAACAAAAACGTTTTTGTAAATATCGTCTGTCATTCTGCCTAAAATCTGTTCAAAAACGTATCATCAGTGATCACACCTCTCTTGTGGTTAACGCGTCGTACATTTTTACCAACAATTTTTAACCAATGTTGTCAACGTCTCTGCAGAGAGAGTGTGTGTGTGACAGCTCCGTCTCATGTGGTTTGATTTGTGTTCGCCACAGTACCTGGCCTGTTTGAAGACGTCAAGGTCGCAGACAGATAAGCTGTCTTTTGATGTGGGCCTGCAGGAAGACTCAGCAGGTAAACCAAAGAGGCTCTGCTAAAATGTCTTTTTTCTCTCGCTGCCGTTGTGTCTGTCTTTGTTCCGCTGCCTTTCTGTCTTGTTCTGTTTCTCGATATCTGTCCCTGAACTGTATTTCTTTAAGATAGAATACTCCTGCAGCCAGCCATCTCCCCCCGAGGATCTCTGAAGCACTCGCTGAGTGATTTTCTGTACAACGTTGATTAGATCTCTGCAGCAATTTGGATTTTTTTTTTTTCTTCATCATCTTACCTGTTGTTGTTTATTTAATACCTTGGTTTTGGTTTTCAATGTGGGGGCCATCCAGGGGGCGCTAGGGAGTCATCAGAAAATGGG